GGCCAAGGTGGGTGGATCTCTTGAGGCCAGGAGTTTGAGACCAGCCTGGCCAACAGGGCAAAACCATCTCTGCCAAGAATACAAAATTAGCCAGGCATGGTGGAACACACCTGTAATTCCAGCTACTCAGGAGGGTGCCGCATGAGAATTGCTTAAACCCAGGGGGCAGAGGTTGCAGTGAGCCGAGATCATGCCACCACAATCCAGTCTGGGTGATAGAGTGAGGCTGTCTAAAAAAATATAAATAAATAAATAAATAAATAAATAAAAGAGGTAGGGCAGTGAAATGGAAGAAGTTAACACACTAGCTACACGGCCTTGAGCAGGCACTTTTCTAAGTTTATTTGAGCACTTGTAGGGTGAGTGCTAATGTTTACCCTATAGGACTGTTGTGAAGGTTAGAGATGAGGGAGGCTTGGTGAGGGCAGGGATCCCATCTTTTGTAGTCCCTGGTATCCCAGGATTCAGCCCAAGTAAAAGTATTAATTATATTAACTAATACAATTAAGGATTTTATATCTGATTATATATAACATATAACTAATATATATCATATCAATACATCTAATTATATACTACTTATTACATACAGAAAACCATACATTTAGAGATATAAAAATTCATCTTTGATTTCCACCAGATTCTTTAGTAAGCAACAACTAGACTAACAAAAGAGGTAGATTATATTCACAACAACAGATCATACAGGCTATGGAATATTGACTTTGTGTGTGTAGTTGGGGCAGCAGTGTGTGTCCAGGAGAGTTTCTATGTAAATCTCAACACAGAAAACTCACATGCTCCATAATGATTAACAAGGCAGATGTCTTCAAAGTGACAGCTGACTCTTTAAGGAGGAGCCCCTCGGCCAAGATAACCTCCATTTGGGGTGATGAGCAAATGAGAAAGGAAATGAAGATACGAGAATGCTGCCACACTGTATTCCATTTAGCACAGAGTCAGAAGCATAGTCCCTTGGCATTAGAAGGGATGTCAGGGGTCACAGAAACAAGAATTCCTTCCAAAATGCCTCTTTTAGCAAGTCACAGGGCCAGGCAAGGTAGCTCACACCTATAATCCCAGAATTTGGGGAGGCCAAGGCGGGCGGACTGCTTGAGCGGAAGTTCGAGACCAGACTGGTGAAATCCCATCTCTATAAAAAATACAAAAATTAGCCAGGCATGGTGGTTCATGCCTGCAATCCCAGCTACTTGGGAGGCTGAGGAAGGAAGATCACTTGAGCCCAGGAGATGGAGGCCGCAATGAGCTGTGATCACACCAGTACACTCCAACCTGGGCAACAGAGCAAAACCCTGACCCTGTCTCAAAAAAAAAAGTCATGGTTCCTGTCATGGTTTAAGCACTCACACCTGGAAGGTACTGATCTTGGTTTTGCTGAAATGAAGAGCTAGAAAGTTGTTTTGTTACTGAGCTACTCTCTATAATTAAGCTCAATAAATATTCTGCCTGGTATATGGCAGCTCCTCAAATATTTAAAGAGCTACTGTGCACTTCCCAGGTTAAACATCCCCAGGACCCCCTCATTCTGATAATGGTATGGCTTCACAGCTTTCCACCCCCAACCTCCTGTGACTTCCCAGATTTCACCCCAGCCACGTCTTCTCTTATACATCTTCTGAAATGGCTAAAAAGCAAGTAAAGACACACAGAAGGACCCCACACTGAAGAACAGTACCTCTGGGCACCTTTAGTTACTTTAGTTACTATTGTAACCTCCTCGTCAATTCAAGGAAAAGCAGTAACAAGCAGCTGTCAGTCATAACATCTGGGTGTAGTTACACTAAAGTAGCCCCAAATCTCATTACAAAGCAATCTCACCCACAAAGGAGCTTCCCACAAAATGAAGCCACAGGAAAATGTTGAAGATAATTTTCGTGTATTGAGAAAGCTGGTGCCCCCACTGGACTCACTGCTTTAAAAAGTGTTCCACATATATGTGTGTATATTTTACAAAGCATGCTCCACAGATCATTAATTCTGTTGGATGTTAGGAAGAATTCCATTATCAAAAAAATAAGTTATCTTAAACTCTAGGATCACACTTCTAAACAATTCCTTTGCTGAAAGTTTTCCGAGTCTTCACTATGCTTCTATGCATTATGCATACTGCAGAGAGAGAGAAGGATCACACAGGGCTTGACAACAAAATATGTGTTAATTGATGTATTTTCTGAGTGGAGCATTGCAAAGAACACATTTTGGGAAATGCTGCATTAGCTCATCAATACTTGTGGGGCAGCACACACATCAGGGGAGGTCTGCCAGCTGGTACCCTACAACGTCTTCCACTGTGAGTGCATGGGGTTACTAAGGACACAGGGGCACTCCCAGGCAGAGATGCCTGGGCCTTGACTAATGAGATCTTCAGGAGTACTTCGGCAGCTGTTTGGGATTTTTCTCAACCGATTTCCGCATGGGACTAAGTGGAAGTTGGAAAAGTATCATCAAACTCTCCTTGAGATTCCTTTTTGATAACGTAAACATCCTTCTGGATTTGAATCTCAATTGTGTTCTCAAGTAGCAATTTCTTGCAGAAACTAAGGGAAGTACCGTCTTGCAGGTATTGCAGCAGCACTGTGCTTGTGTGGGTCCTGGTCCCAAGTGGTTACCACAACTCAGGGAAGGTATGCAGGTCCACAAGAACAGACTGGAAGTGTCCACTCTTCTGGGGGTTCATCTCGGGACGGCACTTCTGTCTTGCTGCAACCTCATTCTCTCTACTTCTGTTCCTCTTTCAGTTTGCTTTGTGAGGCTCCTCATAGCTGGTATGGAAATGCTGGGGATTGTGGGGGCCAGCACAGAAGACCAAGAACTCTAACAATGTTCACATGAATATTATTACACATCACAGATAAAATTGACTGTCTAGTATCTGCTTGGCACTTTCACAAATGATTTCATTGAAACTTTAAGATAATTCTATTGGGCAGTATGTCTGCTTTCCCAATACAGAGGCTCAGAGAGGGTGGAGAAACAGCAAGGAGTAAAAGAGCTGACAATGATGGCTCGTCCCAAAGCCCCAGCCCAATTGCTACATTTCCTCAACCCCCAGCAACATTTCTTTTCTTTGGAATATTCTAGAAGGAATGCAGCCCATACATACACAACCAGCATGCACCCACACAAACAGGAAACTCCAACAGAACTATTATAAAGAGGCAGGCAGACTCTATCTTAAACTACGTACTTGCTTTACTCTACCAAAAGCCAAATCTCCCAAATAGTTATGACAAAGTCACAAACATTTAATAAAGGGATGATAGTCAAGAACTTAGAGAACAAAGTAGCCACAATGATGGACAAAGCAACTGTATTAGTAGTGCCAAGGTGCATGAGGCCCTCAAACATGAATTTCATGGGAGGTCCCTGGGTGGGGAGAGTGCACTGGCAAGGACAGAACAGCAACACTTTAACAAAGTATACGGCTTTGCTAAGCCTTTTTTTTTTAATTTCCAAAGGTTTTCTTTATGTCTAATATTTTGGCACAAAATAGGCACAATGCATTTTTTTAAAAACTGCCAACTATTGATTAATCAATAGCAGGTTGTTAGAATTACAATTTCTTTTAAAATCTTAATGGCAAATAGCCAGGTTGCTTCTAGGCATATTGCACATCTTTCTGCATAATGGAGGATTTGAAACCCTGGTACTTAACTATCGGTTTTCTTATAAAGAAAGTCTATGAGAAAATACATTTGCATTACCTTTGGGGAGAGTCAACTGCTCCCAGCAAGGGATGATTATAAAGAATAGTGAAAAGAGAAGAATGAACAACTAGGTCATTTCCTGGTTTTGCCTCAATAAGCTTTTATAATTTTAACTGAAATAAATTCAAAGGCCATTAGATACTTCTGCATCCAAAAGTAAATGCAAGGGAAAAGCATCCAAATGACTTCTTGGTTATCTGTAGTTTGGGATCATCTATATTTCTATTAATAAAAATAACAGGGAACCATACCAGATTTTTCTGAAAATGAAAACTAAAAACACAATAAACATATCATTGGGGAAAATGTTTAAAATTATAAAAAAACACCTGCATTTTGGAGTGAAATATTATCTGGATGCATAATATACACAATAATTGTTCCACCATAAGCTCCATTTTCAAAACCAGAGTTCATCACAGAAACATGAGTTTAAAAAATTAATCATCATGCCAGGAACTGCACTGCCATAAAAGCAAGTCATTCTTTTCTGCTTATAAACAAAAACAAAACTACCACATATGCAGATGCATGCCTCAGTACCTTGGTGCAATGGTGTATTTACTTGTATAAATATTTAAAGTCAAACCTTTGAATTTATAATGAAGTAGTACACCACTTTACAAAATAAGGTACTAGTAAATTCAGATGTATGACAAATAGAACTCTGTACAGAATACTAATTGCTGCTGTTGCTATTCTAAAAAGAAAAAAAATAATGATATCATTCAGATTCCACCTAAAAAAGCCTAATACATGTGCAGAAATCTTAATAGGTCTTGATGAAGCCTGATTGGTACAATTTTTAAATTATCAGACAGGCTTTGTAACTGAGGCAAACGCAAGCTTCCTATCTGGCATTTTAAAAAAAATTTCCTGCTCTTATTCTAATATACATATTCAATTACAACAGGAAAAAAAAGAATAAAATCAGACACATCTATAGTTTGCTATGTAATGACTGGGTGTTCCCCAGGGAGATGGACCTTTTCACACAGACGCAGGTGCTGAAAGGGTGCGTGCTGGAGGATGTTACAGATGTAAATATATAACATGGTGAGGAAGAATTCAATAGACACGGTGATTTTCCACCTTAGTTTATGTTAACATAAGCATTTACGTTCTGCCCTTATGATTAATCTCCTGCTCCAGCATGCAGTAGCTGAATATACTTGCTCTTAGTGGGGTCCAAAAACCACTAACCAAAAATGTTCTGATTATATAAAAATGCTAAATTTTGTGTTTGAAACTCTTATACAACCATGGCTTTACCTGTGATTGGGACATCTGCAGCCACATTTTCTTTCTTGCTCTTGTCTCCACAGCCACTTGAAACTTCTAAAAATTGAATGTATAGTAATAAAAATATATTTCAAAGTTAAGAAATAGATCCTTTGGATGTTTAATTGCCATTCCTTTTATGTTCACTTTTTTTGTTGTTGTTAATGTATTTCTTGTCTGAAATAATACTGTTCCTAAAAGGAAACCTATTCTAAAATTAAGGTATCTCATAAATGAAAATTTAAAAATAAAATTAAATTAAGGTACTCTATGTTGCTTTCATGCAAAATAATTTGCCCTGACATCTATCAAATTTGGGTGAGACATAAAATAAGTGAGTCTCACATCCTGCACTTGTACATCAACTCGAGCAATTCCTGAGGCATTCATAGCTGTCTTGGAAAACCATTAAAGCAGTTAAATGGCATGTCTTAGCAGTAATGCTAAAATAATCACAGTTTCTGGGTACTCAAAATTGGTCATTAAATTTTGGGGGCATAAATTCATTGATTCTTAATCAACTGTTCGGACACTGAAAAGGTTCTACTATAACTAAAAGGTATGTTTACAATTATGAGTAAATTCTACTAAGAGATATCAAAAACTTCACAGTATTTTATGGAATCATCTTCATCTTTGTGGGAAAAAAATTATCTACTGCCAAGTGATTAGCTTTGTTAAGATTTCCTAATTTCTTCATACTTATTTTATTAGAAATTCACTAGACCTACAGAGTTACAGTTAGATTTCCCATTCCTGTTAGACTAAAGGAGAACATACGTATTTATTGGAAGGTGGTATAAAACAAATAACATATTATGCATATTAAAATCAGAGGTATTCTCTAGTCAGTGATAGTCTATAGGTATACCTCAAGAAAGGTGATGATCCTGAATGCCTTTTTGCTGTGGACACACACTTTAACAATAGTTACCTTGTTCCCTTGTAGGAACACTGTTGAGCCATACAGCAGGTTTGGGTTCCTTTACTCCACTATTGCTATTCAGAATAGATGACAAGCTGCAAGATGATTCACTACTGTGAATAGTTGACCTATGGCCACACTCTTCTGTAAGGGCTTTTCTCAATAATGCTGTTGCCTACAGTATTTCAAAAAAAAAAAAGCACAAAGAAATAAAAAACTGTAGCCACATTTCCCTTGTTCTCAAAGACATAGCCTTCAAATATAATTTTAAGTTAAGCTTTACTTAGGATTTAATTTGTTTCCTACATTTAAATAAAATTAAAATGTCAAGATAAACAACACCTGGTTATTTTCTACTATAATCTAATTCTTTGCAAGTTACCCTCACAAGAATACACTTTTTGAGGGCTGAATCTTACATAATGCAGAAATGTTTTTCTGTTTGTGAAATATGTATATGAAATGTGACTACCTCTGTTAATCTGGGCAGGTTTATCCTCCCTTTGATACATACAAATGGCAGAGCCTCAGACCTCCTTTCTGAAGGAAAAATTTATTCTGTCATTACACGAATCCTATTTTCTAGGCATGTCAGACAGAACTACTCTGAACCGGGAAAGAGATCTGGAAAGATGTGACCTTGCAATACCCATATCCTCCTAAAAATGACCCATACACTTCCCCTAAACAAGAAGATTGCAGAAAAATTTGTAACTGAAGAGGATGCATTGGGCAAAAAGATAACTGCCTTATTCTAAATCCCAATCTTCAATCAAGTACTAACATGGTCTGCACTTTGCCTCTAAGTTGGCTGGGGATCTGGGGGAACTCACCCACCACATTGCTTATCTTTTTTCAAAGGCATTGTCTTACCTATATACATCATGTATTCTGAGCAAGGATGAGGACACAGGTTTTTATCAGAGCCAACTTTAGAGGTGGAGAAAAAGGGGCAATTCACAGGACCTGGGTTTGTAGTAGCCATGTCTCTTGATTTTCAGGTCAGTACTTTCCCCCAAGAAATAAAAATATGCTCGTAACAAGAGTTAAACTTTTAGTAGATAACCACTGATCACATTATCCTGCTGCCAGAGTGTACATTTCTTTCATTTCCTATTGACAAGTGGCGATTTCCTTAGGTAGCTGGAGGGGAAACCTCAGTGGTGGTGGTGGTGGTGGTGACCAACCGCTATCTGATAATGACAGTAAATACTAGGTAGTGCCCAACCCAACTGTGGGAAATGCACATGAGAGTTTAAAATTAACATGAAGAGCAGAACTGGACAAATGTTCACAGGTCACCTTTAGTCCAAGAGTGAAGGGGTAACAACATAACTACCCAGTGAACAAGGTGGGAAAAATAACCTTCCTTGTTAACATGAAAGAAGATGAAGACACGCTGACAGGGAGAATCACTAAAGCAGAGCATGGATGGTCTGGCCTTGCATGTTTGGTGTTTCAGACACTTCAAAGCAACTGCCTTTAGTCCTGACATCCCTGCAGAGTTCTTGCCTTCTGCTCTCCCTAGGACTGGCTGACCTCCTAGGCCCATGGCCTGCCCTAGGGGCTGGAACAGCTGATTAGGGGAATTTAAGGAGTTCTAGTCCCCTTGGCCAAAGAACTTGGTGTCAAGTTAGCCTTGCAGCCAGGACCTTTCTGTGGTACAGTTCTAGTGACCAGGGGCTTTTCCTCTGTTTCTAGAAACTACTCCCTGAATTTCACTCCACTGTGATAACTCTGTTGGGATGACCTGCTCAGTATCCCCATTTCTGCAGACTAAGGGGAAGGCATAGGGTCCTGCCTTTGAAGCCCAGGCCAACGCTGGTTACAATCAATGCCCCCCCCCTCCCAATTGCCTACAAGGACCACTGCACTGTACCTGCTTCTGGAATCTACCATGAACATCTTTCCAATGAGTCCTTGTATGCTTGATAAGAATACCGCCATTGCTAACTGTTCTACACTGAGCCCTCTTTTCCATGGTGAGGTAAGTGATGTGGTGAGCACGCTGTACTGCTAGTTTAATTTACTTTGTATACAGACGCTCCTTGACTTTATGAAGGAGTTACATCCAATACACCCACCACAAGTTGAAAAAACTGTAAGCTGGAAATGTATTTACCACACCTAACCTTCTGAACATCATAGCTTAGTTTTGCCTACCTTAAACTGCTCAGAACACTTACATTAGCCTACGGATGGGTAAGACAAAGCCTATTTTATTATAAAATGTTGATTTTCACATGTAATTTGTTGGATACTATACTAAAAATGAAAGATATAATTGCCGTATGGGTATCTGCAGTATGGTTTCCACTGAATGCCTATCACTTTCATACCAGTGTGAAATCAAAAAATTGTAACTTGAACCACTGGAAGTCTGGGACTATCTTATCCCATTTATGTTTACTACTCAGTACTTATCTCCAGGATTTCTGTTACTTTTTTGATAGAAATGTTTATAAAAGAACATATCTTTTAAGATAATTCTATAGATAATTCATCAAAGATGATAAGCAGGGACAAAGACAAAAGTAGCCTCAGACAAGGATAGACAAGAATAGGTCACAGATTTTTAGTCAAAAACAACTTCTTTTTGAGATGGACTCTCATTCTCTCGCCCAGGCTGGAATGCAGTGGTGTGATCTCAGCTCACTGCAACCTCTACCTCCCAGGTTCAAGTGATTCTTGTGCCTCAGCCTCCCAAGTAGCTGGGATTACAGGCGTGTGCCACCACACCAGGCTAATTTTTGTATTTTTAGTAGACACGGGGTTTCACCATGTTGGCCAGGCTGGTCTCAAACTCCTGTCTTCAGGTGATCTGTGCTCCCTGATCTCCCAAAGTGCTGGGATTATAGGTGTGAGCCACTGCGCCTGGCAAAAACAACTTCTGCAGTCAGGAAAACATCTGTAACACATTCTCAAGATGTACTGTTTGCAGATGTTCCAGAAAAGCATATTTCTTTTTTTTTTAATAGAAGTATCACAATAGAATCAAATCATTTTTAATGTAGATTAGCAAGCTGTGTTTACATCACTACGTGATAAAAATATTGTTCACTGCTGGCCCAGCTAGCACATGATGTTTACTCTTGCTACATTGGGTAGGTATTTGTTTTTTTTTTTTTAGAAGAAAGAAAGAAAGGAAGAAAGAAGAAAGAAAGAACGGAAGGAAGGAAGGAAGGAAGGAAGGAAGGAAGGAAGGAAGGAAGGAAGGAAAAGAATAAAAGAAAAAAAAAATAAAAAGAATAAAGAAGAGGAAGAAAGAGGAAGAGGAAGAGGGAGAGAGAACAGGGGTGTTGCTTTATTTCCCAGGCTAGAATGCAGTCTAAAAATGCGTATACCTGTAATTGTGTTTAATAATAGAGACATGGAAAAAAAAAAAAAGGCTACTTTTTGTCTTTGTCCCTGCTTATCATCTTTGATGAATTATCTATAGAATTATCTTAAAAGATATGTTCTTTTATAAACATTTCTATCAAAAAAGTAACAGAAATCCTGGAGATAAGTACTGAGTAGTAAACATAAATGGGATAAAATACAGATAGTCCCAGACTTCCAGTGGTTCAAGTTACAATTTTTTGATTTCACACTGGTGTGAAAGTGGTAAGCATTCAGTGGAAACCATACTGCAGAAAAGCATATTTCTAAGGAAACCTCCAATATGAAGGAGCTTGCAATCTGTGACTGATGACACTAACCCACAGAGAAGCTCAGAGAAGAGTTAACAGGTTGTTTTATTACATTTCATGCTGGGACTGAATGGGTTCTGCAAATTGGCGCTAATTCTCTGAAAAAATATCATCAGACAACAATTTTACCGCAGGCTTTCTGATAGTGCTTATGAATAAACAATGCATGGGCTCCAACTTACCTGTTACTAATAAAGGCTCTCTTTGAATCATGTACATTTGGAGCCCAAAAGAGATAACTAGAGATTGTTTCATTGTTCTCAGCAGTCTGAAGCCTAAGTCAATACCAACAAACCACCCTCTCACTTTTCAGCCTTCCCAGGAGTCAGGAGAAAGGGCTTGGAAATTAAATGTCAGGGCACACACTACTTGTGGAATGACTGATGTTGATACCTTCATATTTCAGACATTACGGCAGATAAAGTGTTCAACGAATTACACCTACAGTGCTATTCCTTTAATTATTAGCTCAGTTCTACTAGAATTTTCCTCCATATTCAGTTTAAGTATTAATCTTGCTATGTCTAGAACCCCAAGAATCATCTAGGCTGACTCTTAAATTATATCCAAAAATTTAATGGTTGTGATATTCAAATATATAAACAGACAGATGAAGATACTAATGGAAATGACATTGTGTCCAAAACACCATTAAGAAAAATACATGAAAAAATTAAACTGCTAAAAATATTGCAACAAAATGTCCAAATTTATATTTTAAAAGTTTTTGCAAGTCAATAAGAAAACATATTACTAACCTAATAGAAAAATGAGCAAAGAACATGAGCTGACGATTATGAAAAATGAAATACAAATAGCTAATAAATAGGTAGAGAAAAAGTTTGACCTCAATTGTAACAAAAAGGTCAAATGAACAAAAAAAAAACATTGGATGTCATTTTCATCTCTCAAATTGGTGAACCTAAAAAAAAAAGCTGATAGTATCTAATTTCATAAAGAACTCAGAGAAATGATATTTTCATCCATTACTGGTAACTCTGATGACCCTTCTAGAGTGAGAGCTGGCCATGCATAGCAAAACCCTGAAAGCTATATCCACCTTTTGACCTAATAATTCTACATCTAGGAATTCATTCTAAGGAAATATTATAGATATTTGTAAAATCTGAATTGCACAGATACTCTTTGAAACTTTTTTACTAGAGGAAAAATTAGAAACAAATGTTGAACAACAGGTAAATAACTGAAGTGACAGTAGATAGGGGACCTCCAGAAAGCCATTTGAAATGATGTAAATAGAACATGTAATGGTATGAAAGAGTTCACCTTGCAGCATATGGGGATAAAAAAACGAGGTGATATGTACAAATAATGCAACCTATGTTTTTCAACATACTGAATTTTTTTTTGTTTCCTTGAGATGGAGTTTCACTCTGTCACCTAGGCTAGAGTACAGTGGCGCAATCTCGGCTCACTGCAACCTCTGCCTCCCAGGTTCAAGCAATTCTTGTGCCTCAGCCTCCCAAATAGTTGGGATTACAGGTGCGTGCCATCATACCTGGCTAATTTTTCTATTTTTAGTAGAGACAGAGTTCTGCCATGTTGCCCAGGCTGGTCTCGACGCCTGACCTCAGGTGATCCGCCCATCTTGGCCTCCCAAATAAATATATTAAATATTAGAAACCATACATCATAATGTTAACAGGGTTATATATAAATAGCAGAATAGTAGGATCATGACCAATTTTCTTCTTTTTGTTTATCTTACTATTTCAAGATTTTTTTAATGCTTGTTTTTAAAAGAAAACATATGCTAGCTCTAAAGAAATCCAATTTCTGCTATTCGTGGTACCAATACACAGAGAAAATGAATGCAAACGCACCTGATAAAACTAAATTCCCTTCTATATGCAAACCAGTGTTACTAACACAGACACAGAAAAGTAAAATAATTAAAAATCATGGATGTGGACAGCAAATGATATTTTCCCCTAATATGCAGATTTAACTGACTCTTCCTCAAGGTTCAAGAATATTCCTTTTGGACACTGGAAGTAATTTCTTGGTCTTTAAAGAGAATTGCAAGCATCATCACTTAAGTTCTAAGTTAAAGGGAATGAAGGGATTTTATCTGCGCAGCATTTTTTTTAAATTGGGAAGATATTTATATGACCCAGCAAATGAGTATGCAGGAGATAAGAACAAGAAAACAGTCCAGCATTTGGGGAAAGCATCTTCCCGGTGAATAAAACTGGTCTGTGTGTATGGTGAGGGCAGGACCCGATCTACTCTATGAGTGTCACCAGCAAGTTGCTCTGCTGTGACAAAGTTCTCCAGGGTAGAAACAGATACCATTGGGAGAATAGTAACATTAAGCACTTTGTATTTTAATGAAGCACCCAACTCATTTTTTCTCTACAAAAAGTAATTACAAATTTTTCTGATTTAAAAGCATGCAGCTCAATTATGTAATTGCCTAATAGGTTATGCGGGCACTGTGGACCTTATCTGGTCTCCAGGGGACATAATCTGAGTTTCTGCGGCTTTGATGATGTATTTACTCAAGAGAAGGGATTGACTCGCTGACAGCACAGGGACCCACAGGTAAACATCATTTACATGCGGCTTTTTAATTAGCCATTTACCCAAGAGATCAAAGTAAATATTTCTGAGCTTCATCAGACTCTTAACCAAGTAGTTTCTAGTAGAGCTTTTTTAAACTTTGAAAATCACTTACTTTTAAGATTTTATCTAAAGAGAGAGATTTAACTCTAGTATTTACTAAATGTGTACATGGTTTCAAGATACAGAAACACTCAAAGACACTTTATTTTACTAATTGAAAAAGGATGACATGTAAACCAAAACAGTTCTAGGACTTACAAAAGCATTTTGTCCTTAAGTTCACAAGCTTGCCCTGCTTGCATCGTTTTGTTAGTATTGTTCTTTTGGGTTGTGCATTTCTTCAACCACAACCTAACTGTATGAAAAATTACCAGTTTACTTCCATTTTTAAGGCTAGATTTTGTCATTAATGTATTGGTAATTTTTATGATTGTCACTAAAGTGATTTAAAAATGAACAAAGATCTTTTATGAAGGCAGAATATAATTTGATTCATTAGTTATTAGTTGGACAGCACCCCCTCCCATTATTGGAAAAATTATGAGTAGATTGAGTGATTGGGACTTGGACCATGTTTTCTAATATAAACAATACCATTTAAAAAAAAAAGATTAGGCCGGGCGTGGTGGCTCAAGCCTGTAATCCCAGCACTTTGGGAGGCCGAGGCGGGTGGATCACGAGGTCAAGAGATCGAGACCATCCTGGTCAACACGGTGAAACCCCGTCTCTACTGAAAATACAAAAAATTAGCTGGGCATGGTGGTGCATGCCTGTAATCCCAGCTACTCAGGAGGCTGAGGCAGGAGAATTGCCTGAACCCAGGAGGCGGAGGTTGCGGTGAGCCGAGATCGCGCCATTGCACTCCAGCCTGGGTAACAAGAGCGAAACTCCGTCTCAAAAAAAAAAAAAATAAATAAATAAATAAATAAATAAATAAAATTAAAAAAAGATTAGATAGCAAAAGACAGCCAATCAACACTTATTTTACCCTTAAAATGCCTGAGATGTGATATACTTGCAGTGAACAAGTATAAAAAATAATGGTGTTATAAGACAGTGCTAAACCAAAGGAACAATAAAACCAAAACAATATCTTTCTTAAGATCTACGTTCATCGGCTGGGCACGGTGGCTCACACCTGTAATCCCAGCACTTTGGGAGGCCAAGGGAGGCAGATCACCTGACGTCAGCGGTTTGAGACCAGCCTGGCCAACATGGTGAAGCCCTGTCTCTACTGAAAATTAAAAAAAAAACCAGCCAGGCATGATGGCATGTGCCTGTAGTCCCAGCTACTTGGATGGCTAAGGCAGGAAAATCGCTTGGACCCAGGAGGCGGAGATTGCAGTGAGCCAAGATCATTACTGCACTCCAGACTGGGCAACAGAGCAAAACTCTGTCTTGAAAAAACAAACAACAACAAAAAAGATCTACATTCATCAACAGAAGGAATTGATCTAGGTTATCTTTGAAAAGGGGCATGAAATCTATAAGAGGCATACAGGGGGCTGTATCTATCTTTTTAATAATTTATTTCTTCCCCCTAAAGCAAAGGGGAAGGGGAAGGAAGTTTGAGGAGAAGAGAGAAAGAGCAGAAGAGAGAGGAGGTGGGTGAGGTTGAGGGAGGACACAAGGAGGAGGAAGGGAATGGGGTTCGAAGATGAGGGAAAGGTGGACGATGAGGAGAAGGGGGTCTGAAACAAATATGGTGCAAAGGTAACAACACATGTGAATTGGGTTGTGGGCATGGGATTAGTGGGTCTGTCCTATCACTGAATATATGTATGTTTGAAATGCTAAAACACAAAAGTCCTGCTACTCTCTTAATTGGAGAGGCAAGGAAAGAGGTGTCTGAGTAGGACTAGAGGTGCTCTGGAAGGCTGGAGGGGCAACGCTAGATGCTTAGACGGCATAGCTACGTGGGCATGTGACTTTAAGACAGATGCAGCAACACTTGTCTCCAGAAGGTGCAGATATATAATCCTTGAACTATGAGCATGGTAATAACAGTTTTTAAAACACCTTAAAAAGAATCAAAGCCAGAAAATTCTATATTATGTATCAGGATGAAAAAACATGCTTTGAAGCAAGACACATTCCCAAGACGTTCAACCTAGGAGAAGAACGGCTGTTTCCCTGGGTGTGGCTTTTCTAGGGAATGAGGACAGAATGTGCCAAAGGACATGCTCTAAACTTGGGCTTCTGGTTCCTCCCTTCACAATTTGCTTGTGAACTTGCTCCATCCATTTCCACTTTCTGTTCATCCTCAAACTCTCTCTTGGCACCAGCTCCCAAATCAGGACCCTCCTTCCTCTTCCCTGAACCACTGCAGGGCTCTCTCCTTCAATGTCTCAGTCCCAAACCAAACATGAAGGCACTGCAGAAATCCTATTACAGTGCTGTTCAAAAAGCTCCAGTGGCTTTTCAAAAGCTACGAAACTAAACACAGTCTCCCTGGCCTGGCACTGGAAGCTGCAGAGCATGGCAGGAAACTACCTCTTGTGCTCCCCAGACTTGAGCCCACGCTTTGGCCTCAGGATGGCTCTGTTGCCTGAATATGTGTTGGGTTCCCCAGTGTGTTCTTTGGCTCATGGCAACCCTTTCTTGTCGCTTCTGCCCCCATGCAACTCATACCATCAAAAACCTGTCATTTAAGCGTTCTCTAGGAGTCTTATCTTGGCTCTTTTTCCTGAAAGCCCGTATTTTTGCCATTTTCTTGTTACATGCATCCCATGATGTCAGACCCCAGAAGGAGGGGCCACATTTTATTTGTCTCTTTCCCTCTAATGGATCTGGGCTGATATCTGTGTATAGTAATGGATCAATGTGTATTTGCTGAATTGACGTGAATGACTACACAGTATTTCTAAAGCATGGCGTGGACAAGGAAAACCAGAGTGTTATAAGATGCCTTGATATTTCTTGGAAAATGAATTCCTACATAAAACATTATGCAGAAGGCCTGAGATCAGAAAGTCAAAAACCAACCAACCACAAAACCTCACTCACTACTTTTCTTATCTTTTTTTTTTTTTTTTTTCCCCAAATATAACATTTCCTCAAATTAGTAACTTGCACATCTGGAGATGTATTTTTTTTTTTTAAGTAAAAATTACTAACCTTTCCCTCTGGTCCACATCTGCGATTGGGAAAACTTCAGATAGTTTAGCTACTTACCTCTTCTTTGAGAGAATTATCATGTTCTTTCAAGGTGGCAACATGCTGACCCACCTGTGCTCTCGGTCTGCTTAAGTCTGGTGCTTGTCCAGGTCTATAAAATAGAAACAGGACACTCACTATAGATTTGTTATAAGATTCCTACATTTTTAAAGGCCTCAATTATGTTAGGAGAAGATAGTTTATCCAGAAAAGTCTGGAACTCAACATATTCTGGACTAAGGGAGTTTTGAGTATAAGTATCATTTTTTTAAAAAACTTTTAAAAATTTTGGTTATTATTTCATTGCTAAATGAGTATTCTCAACTTTTGCTGCACACAGAACAACCTGAGGAGCTTTGCACAATCTGGGTGCCTGGCGCCACCCCTACAGAGTCCAGTAAAATTGGTCTGGGGTGTGGCCTGCCAGTGGGATTTTTTTTTAAATTTTATTTTTAAATTTTAATCTATTTATTTAGAGACTGGGTTATGAGACTGACTAATTTTTACATTTTTAGTAGAGGCAGGCTTTCACCATATTGCCCAGGCTTGTCTTAAACTCCTGGACTCAAGCAATCTACCTGCCTCGGCCTCCCAAAGTGCTGAGATTATAGGCGTGAGCCATCACGCCCGGCCTGGTCCGTGGGGTTTTTAAGGCTCACAGGGTGATTCTAAAGTACAACAGCGGTTTTGAAACACTGCAGAGATGATCAGTCTCCGACATGTAGTTAAGAGAAACAGATCACATCTTCATCTCAACAGCAGTTGTTGTTACACTCTTACCATGGTCTACTTACAATATTTTAAAAATTAAGATATTAGGAAAGAGTTAAAAAGTAAGCCTATGTTGCTGCCCAGGTTGGGGTATTTATATACTAAAAGGAACCAGAGTTCTTTAAAGAAATGCCCTACTCAGGGCTGGGGCAAGAAATGCACAAGATGAATCTGAAACTTCTTGTTGTATCAGAAAGTAAGGAAGCTCTCCAAGCTGTGTCAAAAGAACTGAAGATGGGGAGGGGGTATCTTGAGGAAGCTCCCACTGTCAAAGGTGGGACAATTTAAACAGCAATAACTGTAATGGACTGAAATATAGGGAATACATAAAAATCCATGAGTTCATCTAAAAATACATAAACAAAATTTAAAAAATAAAAATAAAAATCTTTTGATTCAGCCTTAAAAGGAAGGAAATCCTGTCACATACTACAACATAGATGAATCTCAAGGACATTATGCTATGTGAAATAAATCAGTCAGAAAAGGACAAATACTGTATGATCCCACTTACATGAAGTACCTAGAATAGTCAAATTCATAAAGACAGAAGTTGAATAGTGGGTGCTAGGGCCTGGGGGGAAGGAAAAATGGGGAGTTGTTTAATGGGTATAGATTGTCCACTTTATAAGATGAAAACATTCTGGAGATCTGCTGTACAGCAAAGTAAAGATATTGAACACTACTGAACTGTACAGTTCAAAATGGTTAAGATGGTTAATTTTACATTTTTTTAAACCACAATAAAGACAAAATAAAAATAAACTTTAAAACCTTTGGAGGCTGGTAGGGCAACAATTCATTATTCTGCAAATTGGTAAAGAAATAGAATTAAGCATTTCTCCCACTTTTGTGGTCAAATAAATACATTTCAGAGTCACCAAGTAGTTTATAAGGGAAAGTTCTTCCAATAAATGCAGAAGAAATAATCAAATTAGAAAAGTCACCATTTTATAAGTCCAAATTAATGAATTTGTCTAGGAAATAGTCATAATTTTATAAAAATTATATAATAGTAAACTTCTGTACTGAAGTCATCAACCTTCCAACATTTGAACCTACAGATCGGTCTCAGTATCACTAACCATGGGGTGACCAAGTATCATGAGCTGCCCAGTTTCAAGTACAAGCACCACCCATGACATTTTCTTGCCAAAATAACTGGCCTGGAACTTAATCACATATTTGGATTTAACCACCAGTTTACAGGTAATAAAGAGTAAAGAGGAACTGGTTAAACATACCAACCAAATAAAGAATGTAAATTCTCCCGGATAAATGACCCAATTCCTTCAACAAATCAATAGTATAAAAAAACAGAGGGAAGGAATGTTACAAAATTAAAAGAGATTTCGGAGACATAGCCAATTGTAATATGTGGGCCTTATTTGAACTCTGATTCAAACAAAACAAATGTAAAAAAAAAAAAACATTTTTTGAGATAAGCAAGGTAAACTGACAAGGATTAGGTATTAGATAAACTGAATAATTTTGTTATGTTAAACAATAATATTTTACATCCTTATATGTTAGCAGTATAAGTATTTGTGGGTGAAATGATATGTTGTCTGTTTTAAACTACTCTAGAAAAAAAGGGTTAGAGAAAGAGATAAAACAAGACTAATGAAATGTAGCCAGTTGGGTGAATCTGAGTAATGAGTATATGAGACTTCAAATGTTTAAAAATGTCAAGCTAAAAAGTTAAATGTATGCTAGTGTCTGCAACTTACTTAGAAATGTGTAAAAAGAAGAGATTGATGGAAGGATGGATAAACAAATATGAGAGTGCAATAAAATGTCAGCAGTAGAATCTGGGTGGCATGTATACAAATGTTCACTGTATGATTCCTTTTACTTTTCTTTATGTTTGAAAAATTTCATAATAAAATCTCTGGAAAAAAAAGTAAGTCTCGGTATAGTTCAGAACCTTCCTTAATAAATCTTAATTGTTATAACTGGTACCTGACCTAACCCTATTTTTTTTCCAGGACTTTCATAAAGTGAGATGAGTCACTAGAATCCTTTAACGTATTTAAAAGCTTCCAAAGAGTGATTCTAAGGCTTCTGATGAGTTTGATGGAAAGACCTTTCAGCAACTTGCCTTTCTTGGTTAATACCATACTGCAATGATGTCATTAAACTACCCAATTCTTTTGTCTTGACCTTTGCATCTATATTCGGTTTCTTAACAGACTGCCCTGCATTTCAGGGAAAATGTACTGACCAGTCATCAGCAAATTCTAGCCCGTTCCGCAGGTATATTTCTTATAATAAGTAATACAACTATGCTTTTGGCTTGAAAGCAAGTTTAATTAGGATGAACTAAATTAATTAAATAACTAAGTGAGTCAAATTAGCAAAGAACAATCCCTCTGGTGGCTAATGCACATGAATTTCTGCAGAAGCAAAACCAAGGCAAGACTCTGGTTACTAATACGCCACTCAATTGCAACTACCCTTTGGGTCCAAGCAAGAAAAACTAGTTAAGACTTCCTATAATTATTATACTTTTTCCCACAAAAGGGCAAAATCGATTAACTGACTTGCACAAGATCAAATGGAAAATGAGCTGGAAGGAGGTACGGCACCTAGGGTTTGTGACTTCTGAACAACGAACACAATCCCTAAAGCACAAAAGCAAGCTGACTTGCAGATTTACTTCAGGACAGATGAGGCAAGAGGGCAAGAGCCATGGCTAACTTAAATGGAGTTTTGCCCATGGCACTACAAAAACATGCCGTATCAGAAAATTTGCAAAGTGGTACAAGGATTTAAAGGAGATTTTTCTGTTTTGTCTACTTTACATTGGAAAATTTATAACATTGATGACACATAGAAAAAACAAAGTTTGATGTCAGGTAATTCTTTAAAAATGTAATGAAGAAATATACTTTAAATTGTCTATAATTAATTTCACGTACTTGGAAGGGCTTCCAATCACAAAACAATAGCTTGGTCCTCTACATGATAATAGTAAACATCGCATATGAGACTTTTTTTTTTTTTGAGACAGTGTCTTGCTGTGTCACCCAGGCTGGAGTGCAGTGGCACAATCACAGCTCACTGCAGCCTTGACATCTTGGCCTCAAGCAATCCTGCCTCAGCCTCCTGAGTAGCTGAGACTATAGGTGTGTGCCACCACACCATGCTAATTTTTTTGTATTTTTGGTAGAGACATGGTTTCTCCATGTTGCCCAGGCTTCAAACTTCTGAGCTCAATCCACCTGCCTCAGCCTCCCAAAGTGCTGGAATTAAAAGTATAAGCCACTTGGCCCATATGAAAGTCTTAATCCTTGATATAACATAAACAAATAATGATGACAAGAGTGATTTGTTCTTTTTTTCTCTCAAGATGCTTCATTTTGTGAGCAGAAATTCAGAAATCTTCACATCATCTTCTAGAGCAGGGGTCCCAACTCCTGGGCCACGTACTGGTACTGGTATGTGGTCTGCTAGGAACTGGACCACAAAGCAGGAGGTGAGTGGCAGGAGGACAGAGCATTAGCTCTTCCTGAGCTCTGCCTCCTGTCAGATCAGGGGCAGTATTAGATTCTTATAGGAGCACGAACCCTACTGTGAACTGTGCGTGCAAGGGAGCTGGGCTGCATGTTCCTTATGAGAATCTAATGCCTAATGATCTGTCACTGGCTCCCATCACCCACAAATGGGACAGTCTAGTTGCAGGAACACAAGCTCAGGGCTCCCACTCATTCTCCACTATGGTGAATTATATAATTATTTTATTATACATTAAAATGTAATAATAATAGAAATAAAGTACACAATAAATGTAATGTACTTGAATCATCCTGAAACCATCCCCCTGCCCACACCCCCATAACCCCGGTCAGTGGAAAAACTGTCTTCCATGAAACCGGTCCCTGGTGTCAAAAATGTTGGTGACTGCTGCTCTCGAGTATGCTACCGCGGGTGGTGTCTCATTTTACAGATCAAGCTTAAAGGGATAGATGTGAGCTGCTGCTATACCACACACTCCTTTAAGGACTTTGTAGCCAGTCAAAGCCTTTCCACCCCACCTGGATTAGAATTCTATGACACTAGGCCAGGTGTGATGGCTCACGCCTGTAATCCCAACACTTTGGGAGGCAGAGGCAGGCAGATCACTTGAGGCCAGGAGTTCAAGACCAGACTGGCTAACATGGTGAAACCCTGTCTTCTACCAAAAATACAAAAAATTAGCAGGACGTGCTAATACAAAAATCCAAAATACAAAAAATTAGCATGCACACTTGTAATCCCCAGCTACTCAGGAGGCTGAGGCACAAGAATCCCTTGAGCTCAGGAGTAAGAGGTTGCAGTGAGCCAAAATCATGCTACGGC